TAGAATTTTCTTTTAGCCGAATTTATACCTGTTCGTATTATTTTTTGTTCGAATCATTTATTCGAATTAAAATTCGACAGAAATTTCTACGTGAATTTTCGAATTAATTTCAATAATTTTTTAAAATGAAAAGTTCTATAATTTTTTAATTAAAAAAAATTATTTCTTTAAAAATCGTTTATCATAAACATTAGGTACTTCAGCTTCGTTACATTTAAAAAAAATCAAATAAAATTACCAAAAATTTTAATTTAAAAATATTTAAAATTTAATTATTTCTAAAATTTTCCGCATACAATTTTTTGAAATTTAATAATTTTAATTATAACTCTCCCGAAATTCAATTAATTTTAATGATTTTTATAATATTTTTCGAAAATTCAATTATTTGAAAGTATTTTTCAATTAAAAAATTTTAAAGTTCAATTTTTGTCTTTAATTTCTAATCAATTCTTCAACAACAGAAATCACCAATAAATTTCAATTCAAAATTACTTGATTTCAATTATTTAAAAAATGTAAAAATTAAAATCTTCTAAAATTTATTAATTTCTTAAAACTTTAATTGTAAATCTTTAAATATATTTAATGATTTTAAATGACTTTTGTAATATTCTTCAAAAATTCAATTAATTAACAGCATTTTTTAATTATAAACATTTGAAATTTAATTTTTGTCTATAATTTCTAATAAATTTATCACCAAAAAATTTCAATTCAATTACTTTTAAAAAATGTTATGTAAAATTATTTGATAAATTATTTTTTAAAATTATTCACTAAATTAATTATTTTTAATAATTTTAATTAAATTATTCACAAATTCAATTATCTTAAACTATTTTCTCTGAAATTTAACACAATCTTTGGAAATTCAATTATTTTCAAAAATTTCAATTTGAAAGCTCCTAAAATTTCTCATCTAAAATTTTTTGAAATTTAATTATTTTAATTATAACTTTTCTGAAATTTAATTATTTTTAATGATTTTTATAATATTCTTCGAAAATTCAAAACCATTTTTTACTTAAAAATTTTTTTTTAGTGAAATCATCAAAAATTAAAAATCAATTGAAGTTCAATTACTTTAAAAAATCAAAATTGTAAATCTTTAAAAATTCAATTACTTTTAAAAAATTTTATCTAAAATTATTTGATAAATTATTTTTAGTTCTGTAAAATTTAATTATTGTCTGAAAATTAACAAAATCTTTTGAAATACAATTAATTCTAAAAATTTCAACTTTAACTCTTCCAAAATTATTATTTAAAAAAAATTTTTATTTAAAAATCTGTAAAACATGATTAAATATTGTCTGAAATTTTTTTGACCATAAAAACTAAAAACTATGGCAAAATTTTAAATTCAAATAAATTGCTTAAATCAGACTTGAAAAAATTATAAAAATTGAACTTTAAGAATTTTTTTTTTTTAGAAATGTGTTCTACTTAAATAAAATTTTGAAAATTTGTCTTACAAATTAGTTCGATTCTGATATATTCGAAATAAATTTTCTTGATAATATTCTTATAGAATTATTCTCATTACAGAATTAATAAAATGAATTTAATATCTAATAACAGTTATTTAAAGTAAAATATTCATTAACCAATTAAATTTTCTTAAAATCGTCTTTTTCGAATATAAAACGACTTTTTTGTGCCTTAAAGTCAATTCGAGGCCTATAATTCTGTCAAATGAAAATTCGAACAAATAAAAATTCTGTAAAGTGAATTTACTTCTATATAAAAATTCGGAAACAGAAAATTAATTTAATGAAAATTCTCTTAAAATATAATAATTAAAAAAATCAAATTTCGACTAAAAAAAATTCTATCAAATAAAAAAATTAATTAATTTTTGAGATTAATTTTTCGATTGTAGATTGCATTTTTTTTTTTTTTTTGCCTTTTATTATTTTCTTTGGCCGTAGTGTAAAAAAATAATGATAAATTAAGTAATTAGTGACCTTGAATAAAGCAGAAAGATTGAGAAGAATGGCTATGCAATTTTCAGAGGAAGAAGAAGAAGAAGATATGTACACCTAGATATAAACTAAAAGTGTAGATGGAAAAGGGAGGAACAGAGAATAATAAAGGTTGATAACCGAAACGCGTCGTTGCTTAAGATAGTTCGAGCGTGTCGAGAGATGTTGCGCTAACTTACGTTTCTTCATCGTTATAGCGTTAGCTGTAATAGACAATGACCTCTTGTAAAACTTGAGGCAGACATCCAAGGCGCTCTTTTCCACTTCATGACCGCATTCAAGGTCGAACGCGTCACGAGGTCAAGACTCTTGAAAACGATTTATACTTCACTCCCACATATTCATTTCTTCTTTTCCAAAAAAACAAAAAAAAAAAAAAAAAAAAATTGTCTTTACTGCTTTTCAAACCCAAGATTATCCTCCATGAGGATCCTCCAAATAACAATGTGTATGAGTAATTTATTTACCCGGTGAAATATTTGCTTCAGCAATTTTTTTTTTTTTTTTTTTTACTCAATTTTTCTTGTTATAGGAAATTCTAAGGGGAAATTTAATACACTTGTAAATGAAGTTATTTTTGATGAATATTAATAATTTATTTGCATGTTGAAACTTTAATATTAAAACATTTATGTCATTAAAGTCACTGGCAATTTAATTTCTATTAGCAATTTTTTATTTATTTGAGTAATTTTGCAGCAAAATTGTTATTATTATTTTTTTTGAAAACATTAGAAAGAGGATTATTTTTTTCAAAAATTATTTTCCAATTTATTATTTTATTTATCTTCTCAAAAAAAAATCCTTTTTTCTATTTTCTATTTTTTTTATTTTCTATTTTCCGAAATAAATTACTAAAATCTTTTGCTTTATGTATATAAAAAATTTTTCTAAAAACATTGCAAAGCATTACAGAAAAACTAATTTTTATTTTACATATAATTGAACAGAAAATTTTAATACACGTAAAACTATCTTAAACATAACCTATAATTTTGTTTCTTTTCTCATAAAGCGTTAAAAATTGATTAAAATTTTGATTTGAAAAATGTTTATGTAATATAATTATTTTTTTTAGACGAATTTTCATTTTTCGAATTAGAATTTGAAACAAATTTCTCACTTTAAACGAATTTTGTATTGTACAGAATTCTTGAAACGGCGAATTTTTATTTGTCCGAAATTGCAAATGGCCGAACAAACAATCAAGAGAAAAATTTCGGCGTGTTTTTTAAAATTGACGATTTTCTTAACAATTTTAAAAAACGCGACGAAATTTTTCTCTTGATTGTTTGTTCGGTCATTTGCAATTTCGGACAAATAAAAATTCGGCGTTTCAAGAATTCTGTACAATAAAAATTCGTTTAAGAGAAATTGTGTAAAATACCAATTTGAAAAATGAAAATTCATCTAAAAAATAATCTAATAAAATTCTTTCAAACAAAACTATTTTTCAATTTTGAGGTTATGTTACGTCCTCCATTCTTCTTAGTGGAGAACCTTCTTGTATTTCAGAAACTTGATTACATTAGAAAAAAAAAAAAATTAAAAAAAAACATTACTTTTTCAAATTTTAAACCGTTTCGAGAAATTCTAACCGTATATTTACAATTTGCAATACAGGAAGTGTGAAAATTGGAAATAAAAGAAATATTTTGTAACTACTGTTGAGGCATTTAATATCTTGGAAATCAACTTGAACGAATTATTCATTTATTATTATTGACTCGCAATAATATTCACCGAAACATTCCGTTACTCGTGTCTCTTAGTGCCAGGTTTGAAGAAAGAAAAAAAAAAAAAAATTAAGGACCAAAGAGACATGGAGCGGCGTTAAAGCTATAAGGTAGAGGAGGCGAACGCTTATGTCTTACCGCCGGTGAACGTCCGCAAAAGTTCATTAACCTCCAATCCTCTCTTTGTATATAGAAACACAGTTCTAACCTCGCTGAATTAACTTCCTTTTGATATTTTCAATATAGTTCCAATTTATGTTTAGACAATTTTTAAAAATTATTTTTGCCAATCACTTGTATGTAATATATGTTCTTTTTTTAAAAAAAAAAATACACTCAAGATTTTATGTGACATTTCCACTTATTGCCTTACGAACTTTCGTCCCTATTTTACCCTGTGTGATTTATCACGAAAAAAATTTTTTCTTTTTTTTATTTAACGCCTTAACAAAGTCTCAAGGTTTCTTGTATAGGCCAGTATTGTACTCAAAGTTTCTCTCAAGGTTCTTCGGTTTACTCAAGGTTTCAAAGTACTTGGTCTGGTGGTCTCTGAATATTGCGAAATATATTAAAAGCAGATTTATGTAAATTGAATAGAAATTTTTTTTTAAAAAAAGCTATCTCTAGTCGTTATTCTAATCTAATTGAATGATACGATGTTGTTTTTTTTTTTTTTTTTTTTTTTATTAAGTTGTATACCTTGAAATAGATTTTACAAATGTTTGTCTCAGGGGAAATTTTCGATTTCAAATCCAATCGAGTTAGTCAAAAAAAACAAATTTTAATTATTTACAATTATTTCTTTTTATTTCTATTATTTTTTTTACATAAAATTCTGCTATAATTTTTTTTTTTTTTGAAATCATTTTGGAGTGGAAATAAATAAATAACTTAAATTCCAGCCGGAAAACGATTTTTTTATGAAAACTGTGTAAAAAAAGCAGTTTTCTGCAAAAAACCGTTTTTTTTTCGTAATTTTGGTATTTTTTTCGTTTAATAAGTCCCCAAATAATTTTTCGAAAAAATCGCCAACAGAAATGTTAAGACCGGCTAAATTTCCAGATACAGTCTCTAAAAGTTGACTTTTTTTTGGAGGTTAAATGACAATTCACGAATTTTTAGGTTAGGAACAAAAGGAGTGCCAACCATAAAACACAAAAACTGTAAATAATGGCGCGAAATTCAAAAAATTACGTATTAATTTTTGAACCTAATAATGAATAAAATTTAAAAATCAATAATAATAATTTTTCGTTTTTTTTGTTTGTTTCTTTAGCAATTGTTTCGAAGTCAACCGCAGGGAGCAACACCACAACAATTACAATTACTTCAACAGCAACAGCAGCAACAACAACAGCAGCAACAATTTTTAGCATCGCAAGCTCAACAACAACAGCAGCAACAGCAACAGCAAAATTTTCCAACTGCACCTTATACTGTTATTAGTGGACAAGAGCCATATGTTGGAGCATTAATTGCAGGCGCACCACCAGTTGTGCCTCAATATTATAATGTTGGTCCATGGGTGTATCCTGGTTTATTGCCACAAGCACCACCACAAGCACAAGCACCACCACCACCTAGACGACCATTAACACCATCTTCGGCTGCTGCAGCGGCCGCTGCTGCGCAAGATTCAGCTAATCTTGCACAAACGGTAAATTTTTGTTTTAATTAAAATTAATTACGTCCGTGAAGCTGGCCGGAACATACCGTAATATGAAAATATTCACTACATGAGAATTAAGGGCTCATTAAGGGCTAATTAGGGCTGTGTGTCTTGAATTTTGGGCTTTTGATTTATTTAAGGAAAATGACACCCGGCTAACTTCATATTGAAGCTGGCCGGAAACACGCATAGCTTCTATATTACTGCTCCAATTAACTTCTAAGTGGCAGAAACATTTAGGGTTCATTAAGCCATTTAAGAATACACTATATTATTAGTTGAAAAGTTTCAGTTTTTTAAAAAAAGTCATGGTTCCGGCCTGCTTCACGTTGAAGCTGGCCGGAAACACGCATAACTTCTATGGCACTGCTCCTATTAACTTCTAAGTGGTTAAAAAATTTAGGGCTCATTCAGGATTACTAAAAAAACGCAATTTCTTATTCAGAGCACTACCATTTTATAAGAAATTTCTTCAATAAAGATTTTTATGAATTTTAAGGTTTCTATTGTAACCGATATTATGATACCCGCCGCTTCTTCAACATAAAATGATGTAATTTTAATTGTTTTATTATAAGCAATGTTCATGTACGTATACAGCAGTGCACTCAATGATGGTAAAGTGTGTTGCATGTGAATTTAATGTAAAATTTTGTATTTAAATAACGTTTTATTGGCAATTATAATTTGCCGTAAACGTGACATATAAATAAATTTTCGAAATTCGAAATGCTTTACAAGAAAATTAATCTGGTTTGAGATATTTCTCACTATTAAACTTCTAAGAGAAATACAAGTCTAGAAACAGGAGGTACAACTTCGGTAGTGGGGGTACAGGACAAATACATAAGAGTATGGTCTTCTGAAATTAACCCTTTAACGACGAGATGTGCTGTTTTTCAACATAAATTGCAAACGCCTACAATTTGTAGAAAGAAGCCATAAAATTTTTCAAAAGCTCTTATCTTACTATTTTTGGGGTCGCTCTTTCGAATGGCGTGGTCAAAATTTTCAAAAAATGATATATAACCCTTCTTTTTTTCAAAAATACTAAAAAAAGTCAAGTTTTTTGAATGCAATTTTTTTTTAAATAATTTTTTTCTCCCCCATAACATTTTTTAAATAAAACAAAAAGTATCAGAAACGTGTTCCCAATAGTTGTACTTGGAAAATAGCCGTTTATAATTTTTATTTTTTTCGATTTTGGATTTAAAATGGCGTTTGAAGGACAAAAAAATTTCCTAATTTTACTTAAGATCACAAACTTTTTCAAAATTGCTCAAATCTGATTGAAATTTGTTACACGGAGGTTTTTGGGGTTGCTGATTACGAATCTGAAGTCAGATGCAAAAAATTCAAAATGGCGGACTCAATATGGCGTACGAATTTTTTAAAATTTACTCCGATTTGCTTGAAATTTGATACTCGGGAGTTTTTTGGGTCGCTGATTACGAATCTGAATTCAGTTTCAAAAAATTCAAAATGGCGGATCCAATATGGTGGACAAATTTTGTGAAATTCATAGAATTCTGTTGAAACTCGTTACTCGGAGATTTTTGGGGTCGCTGATTACGAATCTGAAGTCAGATGCAAAAAATTCAAAATGGCGGATCCAATATGGTGGACAAATTTTGTGAAATTCATAGAATTCTGTTGAAACTCGTTACTCGGAGATTTTTTGGGTCGCTGATTACGAATCTGAATTCAGTTTCAAAAAATTCAAAATGGCGGATCCAATATGGTGGACAAATTTTGTGAAATTCATAGAATTCTGTTGAAACTCGTTACTCGGAGATTTTTGGGGTCGCTGATTACGAATCTGAAGTCAGATGCAAAAAATTCAAAATGGCGGACTCAATATGGCGGACGAATTTTTTAAAATTTACTCCGATTTGCTTGAAATTTGATACTCGGGAGTTTTTTGGGTCGCTGATTACGAATCTGAATTCAGTTTCAAAAAATTCAAAATGGCGGATCCAATATGGTGGACAAATTTTGTGAAATTCATAGAATTCTGTTGAAACTCGTTACTCGGAGATTTTTGGGGTCGCTGATTACAAACCTGAAGTCAGATTTAAAAAATTCAAAATGCCGGATCCAAAATGGCGGACTAATTTTTTAAAATTGCTCAGATTTGCATGAAATTTGATACTCAGGGGTTTTTTGGGTCGCTGATTACGAATCTGAATTCAGATTCAAAAAATTTAAATTGGCGGATCCAAAATGGTGGACTAATTTTTCAAAATTACTCAGATTTGCATGAAATTTGTTACTCTGGGGGTTTCGGGGTCGCTCATTAAGAATATGAAGTCACATTTCAAATATTCAAAATGACGAAATTATTATACTCTACTTATTGTGATTCTACCAGTAGCAAGTAATCTATATTTCACAATATATTTCAGAATCAAAAAGCTAACCACTGGAACTGCAGATATAAATAAATTGTTTAAAACTGATCTACCATAAAATCTTAACCATAAAATCGCCGAAAAGGGGACTTGAAAAAATGCTAAATCGAAGTAGATTTAGCCTGAATATATTGGTCAATTTTCTTACACACCAAACTCTGGAAGGATTACTTTGATTTTCGGGTCTATGAAATTTTATTCTCGAAAATTATCGCGGGTCATTCAGATGCTATTGGTTCTGTTTTCAAATGTAGATCTTGAGACCAATAATCACGTTGAAGTATCCAATAAGTTGTAGTACTGTTCACTATATCAAACTTATGTCTCAGGCTCAGCATAATTTCATTAAAATTTTTTTTTCTGTTTATATTATTTTCAATGAAACTCATAATCAGATTTTAATTTTCTTGAGAGTTGTAATTTTTATACAAGTTACTATATAATACAGCATTTTGCAAAAAGTCAAAACGATCTTCAGACTTTTAAATATCTTATTCAAATATCAATATTTTCATCGACTAAAAAGTAAATGATCACAGTTCATTTATTTGTCAAACCTCAAAATTTTCATCGACTAACAAGTGAATAATCACGTTTCATTTGTTATTGCTAATTAATGGCTATGTTCATAGTTTTGTGAAAATAATTTGACAGTTCTTTTACACAATGCCGTCGAAGAGAAGATCAGATTCTTTGCCTGCTAAAAGTATTCCGCTAAAGCATTCTCGCATCAAAACGAATGATTCGACATCTGCTAAAACTATTCATTCAAAAAAAATGTTTCAAATAATCATCGCAAAGATTCAAATTTTTCGAAACGCGATTCATTGATAGTTGATTATGAAGAGACTGAAAATTTTGTTAATGCCAACATCATTCCATCTGCTGATGACTCTGGTGAATCGGATTTAGAAGATACCCTAGATGAAAATGTTCAGTTTGAATCTGATATTTCTGAGTCTGAAGATGGTTCTGATTTTTTGCAAAAGGCCATATCATATGACAACGTGTATGAAAATTACGACAACTGTCAAAAAAAATTAGAAGCTGATTATGTGTTTGATTGGAAACAGGGTGAGTGTAAGCAGAACAAAACTTTTAATAACGAGATTATGCTGAGCCGAAAACATGAGTCTGATATAATAAACAGTACTCCAACCGAGTTGTTTGAATACTTCTTTTCAACGGAACTGAAAAATCATATTATCAACTGTACGATAAAAAACGGCCATGAGATGTCAGTTACTGAATTAGAAGTTTTCATTGGCATAATAATATTTACAATGTATAACCAAAGATTGTCTCAACGGGATTATTGGTCTCAAGATCCACATTTGAAAGCAGAACCAGTGGCATCTGCAATGACACGCGATAATTTTGAAAACATAAAATCAAAAATAAAATTCCACGAACCCGAAGATCAAAATAATGCTGACAGAGAATGGCGTGTAAGAAAATTGACTGATATATTCCGGAGCAATCTAATTCGATTTGGCATTTTTTCAAGTTCACTATCCATCGACGAGATGATGTTAAGATTTTATGGAAGGTCAGTTTTGAAGCAGTTTATAAAAGGTAAACCAGTAAGGTTTGGAATAAAATTATGGGCTCTCTGCAGTTCCAATGGTTACCTTTTTGATTTTGAAATATATTGTGGCAAAATGGACAATAAAAGTGAAAAATTAGCAAACTGTACTCTTGGTAGTCGTGTTGTTATAAATATGTTACAAGTCGTTTTCCGTAATGTACATCTGCGTAACCGAGAAGATCTGCACATTTATTTTGACAATCTCTTCACTAGTCCGGATCTTCTAGTTCATTTGAAAAAATATGGATTAGTTGCTACTGGTACAGTCAGAGCAAATAGAGTCAATATCAAGAATGCAATCACAGAGAAAGATGAAAGAGGAAAATGGGAAGTGAAACACGAAAAAAAGAGTGGCATAAATTTCATAACTGTGATGGACTCCAAACCAGTTTCTTTATTATCCACTGCAGCTGGAGTAACGCCACTGGGAAAAGTAAAACGTCGTCAGAAAGGCAAGAAAGAAAAAAAAGAATTAGATTTTCCGAATGCGTTTATGCTGTATAATCAGTTCATGGGTGGCGTTGATTTACACGATCAACGATGCAATGCAATAGAGCCAATTATAAGATCGAAGAAATGGACGTGGATAATTTTTATTCGAATAATCCAATCAGCAATTGCTAATTCCACGATTTTATACAATCTTTTTCATGAAAAAAAAGAAAGTACAAAATTTTTGGCTATCTGCATCAGTAAAGATTATTTGAGCAAAGCAAGAACGGGGAAGTCGTCAGTACATGAGACAGAAAAACAACATTTACCTCGATACTGTTGCACCTCAAAATGCAAAATCCGAACAAGAAAATACTGCAAAACCTGCAAGTTGTTTTACTGCGACAATTGCTTCAAAAAAACGCATAGCACAAATTAAAAGTTTTTAATAAAAAGTTGAAAAAAGTGAATTATTAAATTGAAAAAACAAAAAAAAATTATAAAACAAAGCAAAAAACAAAAAAAAAATTAAAAATCACTGAAAAAATACAAAAAAA